GGCGTCCCCACGCCGCGCTGGGGCGGGGGGATCTGCTCTGCCCCTGGGGGTTGGGATGCGCTTGCGGGGTGCGGGTGTGCCCTTCGTCCGGCAGAGCTCCGGGAACGTCTCTACTGTCCCTACCTCCCCCACCCCCCCGCCTACGAAGACCCTACGAGGTGCGTGGCATCGGTCCCCCAGGGCTGGTATTTGGGGTTAGGTCGCCACGTCTGTTTGGGGCAGGCAACCTCCCATCGCTTCTGCGTGTGGGGTCAAAGCCTTCTGCTGTACGCATGGGAGCTCCCATCTTGAAGATTTCAGCCAGAGGTTGTGTGTAATTATGAGTAAAAGTGATCAAAGGTAAATCTAAATCCGTAGTCAGTTGGTCTAATTATGGCTATGCCTCTGGAGCATGTCAGTGTTTGGGAGTCATAAAAAAGGTAAATGTTTACATGAGTTCTTGGCTGGTTTCTGTATGTGAAGTAAACTGCTTTGGTCCCCCATGCACATACATGCAAGGAGTTGATTCTTAGTATAGTTTTTAGTTGAAGGCTAAAGATTACACTATAGATGGCAACGCATTGCACTGCATGAAGTAGGAGTTTTTTAGACGAATAGGTAATCAAGCATCTTAGTACATTACGGGGGCAATTTCATCATCATCCTCTTCCTATCTGGTGGTCAGCTGCACAGAATAATGATGCAAAAAGTCTGCTGGAGAAACACTCTGGGTAGTCTCATGGTTATTAATCGTTACCTATAAATTGGTATTTAGCTCTGATGATGTTTACAGTTACTGGGGTTTTCCATCTTGGGTTCTCGGGGCACTTTGTGTCTATAATGTTTTGTACGTTTTCCTTGTATGACTACGTAAGGAGTTTAAATTTCATTCACCAATGGGTTTTTAGAATTTTTGCATTCAAAACTTGCACTCGCTGTATCATCTGATGCCCTGGGCATATGCAGGTAGTGTTTTGACCACTGTTTGTATTTGAGGGCACCGAGTCTGGTCATTTCTGAATAATGGCAGGTAATCTGTGTATTTATTTAATGACAAGATCATGTCAGTCGCAGAAATTCTTTCAGAAAATGCCCTGTAAATATAGGCTGCCTGTAGAGAAATAAAAGTTTTTAGAAGCTTTCTGTATGCTACATCACTGAACGGCATTTAGCTTAGTTCATCTGGACATGGCACTTGTGTGCTAAACACTGGGGTTTTGTCAGCTGCAAAGGATCCCAGCACTGCAGACTGGATGTAGTCTGTGAAGTACCTGAAAAAAGCATCACACTCTGCTCTTTTGGTGACTTAATGCATTTGATGAGTTAAAACAACTATTGAAATTTCCAAGTCATTGACCTAAATCAGATATTTAGAATATAATTGTGGTGCTCAGTCTTATCAGCAGCGATTGTGAATTATGCTGATGGTAACTTAGAAATTAGTACGCTTTTTTGCCTTGCAGGGCTCCTCAGTGAAACAGTTAGGAACCATTGGAAGTAGCGCTGTCTCCCCCAAAAAAACCCAGTGCTTTTTTAGTATTTTCTCACCTTGACTGCTTTTCAAACATGTAAAATAAATGCATCTACAAGGGTTTTCTTTAGTATTTGCTTGCCAAGACTTCTAATGCAAGGAAGAGGTGTACCTCATAACTTATGGTCCTTTTCTGAATCACAGGCAGGAATTTATGCTGTGTCAGTTGGTTTTAGTACTGGTGATTACAAGCAGAACATAATTCTATTTACCGTTGTTTGCCAAGCATAGAACGTGTCCTATCTCTAGCTTTAATGTGTTGGTGACATCTACAGCTGTTTAGGGGGAAGCACAGGAGGTTGAAAGAGATCCCCCAAAACTTAATTTCATGTTAGTTGAAGAAATGGTCTTTCCTTTCTGCAGTGAATGAAAGTAGGCAAATGAGGAAAAATCATTATGCTATATTTCATTTACTTGAGTAGAGTACATTAGTAGAGGACTTGTTACTGATATTCAGATATTAAAGTGTAATACATCTTGATATTCTAAGATGTTGTGTTAAAAGCCACCATGAGGCAGACAACTAATGCTTTTTCTTTTTTCTTTTTTAGAAACCAAGTGCTTGAAATGTTTGATCATGCATATAGCAATTATATGGTAAGTAAAATAATTGTTTCATTTTTTTCAGAGTTGTTATTGCTGACCTGGGAGAGAAAGCAACGTATAGTAGATGACATTCTAGAGAAATAGGCAGGGAGGGGCGAAAGCAGAGCTAAAATAAATAAGAGCACCTGGATAGCCTTTAAAAAGAAATGAACAAATGTTACTTTCGGGAAGAGCAGTGTCAGGAGGGTTAGTCATAACAGCCGTCAGGCTGTCAGAATGGCAGCTAGGGGTGCTAGCCGTAACTGTTAATCTGTGCCTCATCTTTCTCAAACCAGTTTATCTCACATCAAGCTATGAACAGTTTTCATCTTTGGTAAAGTATTTGGTTTGAAATTCCAGACTTCTAAAAATACTAGGAAAAGGAAGCTTGAGAAGAGCTGTCTGTAGTCATCAGATTCTGGAGAATACGAATTGATCTTACTTACTTTGTACGTAATAGTTACGTACGCTGTTTCTTCTGTGGTAAGATGTTAGTTTGGTAGCTCTTTTACAAACACACACAGTTTGTAGAACAAAGGCATTATAGCCTCTTCTGAGTACATGACTGTCATATGACAGTGAGCCACACTCGCTGTCATTTCTTTTGATATGACTTGTGATTTTCTGTGCAGGTGTTCTGGGTATGTGTGCCATTTTGCACTCCAATCAACCTTGAAATGTGTTAGCTAGTTTAGATATGTTTAAAGAATTACTTAGATTGACTTTCTTCAAGTAATAATTACTTTCAAATATACTATAAGTAATACACTTCTAAGAAGAAACTGTAAATGTGAATAAGATAAATATAAAAGATGCGTTCTTACTGAGTTTACATTAACAATCTTTTTGTATGTTCTTTGTGGCTGTTGCGGAAACCTCTCTTTTGTAAGTTGCACCAGTTCCTGCAGGACAAACTGCTGTCTCTTGACAGTATCCTGCCACATGTCCCAGTTTCTGTATTCTGGTTTAACACTTTACTATGTAATGCAGGATTAAAAGCTTGTGAGTTACAAGTTTATACAGTACATGAGAGTTGTAGAATTAATGTATAGAAAGCCAAGCGAGAGTATTTTCAAAGTGGGTGTAGTTTTTCTTTTTAACATTGGCTCTTGCTTTTGACACTTCAGCAGTTTAACAAACATCAGTCTTTTGGTGATAACTTGTAACTGGTTACTTGGGACCATGAAAAACACTTGGCTTGGATTTCACCTGGCATTCCGAAGGAAAAACTGTTACTTATTTGGCAAAACTGGATAAAAAGTTATATGCTGGTAGAAAGGATTTGTGCTCCTACTGTTCATGGTGTGATAAATTGGAAACTGGTAGGTGTCTTGCTACATCTGAAGCAAGAAAGTTCTGGATAAAAGAATGACTTCAGCTATACTGGAAACTTTGAAGTCAAAAGGATATTTACTTGCCACGTATGCTGGAACACTAAACAAACAGAGAAATGTGACTTGTTTGTTTAAAGTTGAAGAAAAGATTAGAGTATCCGACTTGATTCTGACAGCAGGAGAATTAAGTATTTTTGCAGCTGCTTTTGAAACAGCCAGCTGAAGAGTTTTGATTTTCTGTTTCTATTAATATGTGTTTTAGACCTGCCTATTTAGAAGACTGAAAATTCATGTTTGCATGCAAGGGGGAAACGCCCTTGTCTTTTTTTTTTTTTTTCCCCAGTTGTTAACAGGAGCTTTGAGTAAAAAGTTGCTGGGGTTTTTTCAGTCCTTCAACAATATTTGTAATAATCAGGATTTTTTTCTTCTGGACTGTCAGAAAGAATATGTGAAAACGTCAGTCAGCTGAGGCCAGTGGGAATTTCCTGATTTACAGCACTAGTAGCAGTGCATCTTTTTTTCATTATTCAGGTACTGCACTGCCCTGAATTTACAGTCCTCACATATGATCATCTGTTCAGTCAGAATGTGTAGACATTCCAGAGTCTCTGTTAAGCTCCATTTGTGTAATATTTTCCAGGAGTATGTTTATTGTAACATTTGTGCCATGTTTTATATTAAATGGGTCTTGCTACCTTCCTTTGACCTTACTTGAATGGGGAGATGTTACAAGTTGGGAAATTACTTGACCCAGTAGCCTTTCCCGCTCTAGACAGGTAATAACTGAGCTTGTATTTTTCACAATGCTTCTAGTTCCTTACAATTTTGTAAGTCAATTTTCTCCAGAACTTTTATCACCTTTTTTCTCCATAATTTAAGCCAGAGATCTTAGTTTTGACATTGCTTTTGTCACGTACTTCTTTAACCTGTTTTTCTGAGTACTTTGCACAGATACTCAGAATCATCTTAGCTGTATTAAAATTATCTAGATTCTGGCTTTTGTAGTTGAACTTGTAGAGAACAAAGAGTTGTGCAAAGACCAAAATACTTGGGAGAGTGGTAGACAGGGAAACAAACCATCAGTTTCAAAAGAAGTTGCTGTAAAAGCTGTTTATTTATGGAAGAATGTTCCTTCTTTTCCTCTCTATTTCATGTTTGAATATAGATTATTTTTATACCATATATTTGGAAAGACTTTGAATGTGTTTACTTGCAGTTTCAGTGCAGTAATTGAACTTTTTTATCCTGCCACTTAAAGTAAAATTGGAGAGCACAGTACAGCAGACGGTTTCCCAGTGAAATCGAGAGAGAAGCTGCATCCCAAATCACTTGTATTTGGCTTCTAATGGAGAGGCAATTTCATGCATGTTTGTTGAAATTACATACATTTAAGGTTAATCTTTCTTAATATCAGTGGCCGCTGTGAGAATTTGTCAGTGAACCTCTCCTATTGCACAATGATGTATTTCAAATTTGGGTCTATTTCATTTGATACCCCATTTTGGTGGTAGTTTAAACCTACAAAACTTGCATTGATTTGAGAGGGAATAGGAACAGGCGTTTTATTCAGTGTGCTTGACTTAGGCAGTGGTGCCACTCCTGTTATTTCTGCCTGACTGATGAGAAATAAAATTATAATATGGCTTGCTTCGCAGAATAACTGCTGCTTTTCCAAAAAATCTAGCAATGTCTCTTTAAAAAAAAAAAAAAAGGTTATATTTGTAAAAGACTCAGTCTTGGTAAGCTTATTTTGTGAATGTTATCTTTTGTTATGCCTTGTGTAGTGATATACCAATTTATTATTTTACCTTCTAGCTGAGTTCTCTTATCTGTCACTGAATGTGACCCTGAGTCACTTATGTTAATTTGGAAATGTTTCCAAAGTGACTTTAAAGTCTAATTCTTAATAATTTCTGCATGAATTATCAGCCACTTGATAATGCCTGCGTTAGTTTTAGGTCTTAAACTCATCTTTGAGATGATAACTTCTGCCTAAGGAACATTATAGTCGGCATCACGTTGTTGCAGAAAACACACAATTAAGTTAACACTATTCAAGTTAATTGGTGGGGGTTTTTTTTGTTGTGCTGTTAGTTGTTCTAGGCTTCTCTGGGAGGTTAGAGAGGAAGAAGAGGTCCTGTTGCTCTGTTCACAGTTTAACCATTTCCAGCCACCCAGCTGGCAAACATCTTGGCAGAAAAAGACCCGGGGATCCTGGTAGACACCAAGTTGACCATGAGCCAGCAACGTGCCCTTGTGGCAAAAGCGGCTAATCCTTGGCTGCTTTAGGCAAAACATCACCAGCAGGTTGAGGGAGAGGATCCATCCTCCTTACTCACACTGATGAGGACACACCTCAAGTACTGTGTCCAGTTCTGGCCTCCCCAGTACACAAGAGATAGGGACATACTGGTCAGAATCCAGTGGAGGCCAGAAAGACTGGAACATCTTTCCAGTGGGGAAAGGCTGAGAGAGCTGGGGCTGTTCAGCCTGGAGAAGAGAAAGCTCAGCGGGGAATCTTATCAATGTAGATAAATACCTGGAGGAAGTCTGCAAAGAAGGTGGAGCCAGGCTTTTTTCAGTGGTGCCCAGTGGCAGGACCAGAGGTAATGGGCACAAACTGAAACGCAGGAGGTTCCCTCTTTCTTACAGTGAAGGAAAGGAAATAATATTAAGTATATATAAACAGGAAACACTTTCTTACAGTGAAGGTGACCGAGCACTGGCACAGGTTGCCCAGAGAGTTTGTGGAGTCTCCTTTCTTGGAGTTATTCAAAGTTTTCTGGACACAGTACTGGGCCGCTGGGTCTAGGTGGCCCTGCTTGAGTAGAGAGGTTGGACAAGATGATCTCTAGAGGTCCCTTCCCACCTCAAAGATTCTGTGATTGTCATGCAGTTTTTCTGAAGAACAGCGTAATTGGGCTTCCTTTTAACAGGCTCCAAAGAGTTGCTGAAATGGCTGTAAAGGTTGTAACTCCCTTGTTTTGTTTCCCAACAGGAGCATGCGTATCCAGCTGATGAACTCATGCCTTTAACTTGTCGTGGACGAGTACGGGGTCAGGAACCAAGTCGAGGGGATGTGGATGATGCCTTGGGAAAGTTAGTGTTTGAAATGGTTACTGTCTCATGTAAACATCTGGGAATCTAAGTACAAATTGCAGCCCATAAAACTTGTTTGTTAGTTGACATGTCCAGAAACTTAACATTTGTAAGAAATACTTTTGTTATTTCCCCCCATGATGTTAACTGATGTGAAATTGTACCTTAATCAGAAAAGGAAAATTGACCAGTGAATGAGATCCAAAGATTTTTTTTTTTTTTAAATCGTTCTACTCGTATTTTCCATAGGAAAACCTTCCAAATGTGATCTGACATTTATGGTATTGGTAAATTTGACTGCTCAATATAGATTATAAGAGTTAATTATCAGCTGCACAGAAGAGTAAACTGTTATCCATTATGCTGGCCTTGTAAGAGATATTTAAAATGCTTTTTTTTTTTAGTAAAAAGCTCTCTGAAAACATAATTAGTCAAATGATTATCATGGGTATGGTAGCCCAAGGCCATTGCCAAAGTATAAAACATTATTTCAGACATGGAAATGCTTCATATTTTTTTCTATTAAGATAACTTATAATACAAAGTAGCGATCCTTTGGCCAACAAAATGTAGATTTAAGGACTGTTTTTCTCCATGTTAAATTGAATAATCAAAGGCAAAGTTGAATTACTCTAAATGTGTTTGTAGTTGATTCCTTTGCTGTCTGTATGTGTGCAGTTTATGTTTGTAGGGCAAATACTTAATAACAAATAGCTGATTCTTTTTTTATTAGTATCACTGCTTAGTGTCCCTAGGTAGAATAGTGTTAATCGACGCTCAAGTCCTTGTCTTAAATACTGCTTCTAATTCACTCTGTGATATTGAGCATGTCATTTTGGTTATTTTTTTGTTATGTAGAAAAGTTCCTTAGTCTAGAGATTTCTATTTTAAGCCTGCTGGCTTGAGAGATAAGACTGATGAGAAAGAAGTGTCAAGGAAATGTGTTTTTAATCCTGGTCATGCATTCTTTTCAATTATTTTTTTTGCATAGTTACATATTATCATTTGAGTAAAAGTACCTTTCAGCTCCTTAGATGCGTTGAATATAGTGTAAGTATTTATTATTTTTCTGTATACATTTTTTTTCTGTTCCTATATTGTTATTTATCAGATTTCTTATATAATTTTTTTTCTTGCCAGCTGGCTCATCAGTCATGTTCTCTACAAGCCTTTGCAATCACAAAATGACAGGGTGAGACAGCTAGGTCAGTTCTGTTTCCCTGGAGGACTAGGGAGTATATTTGCACACCAGCCTTCTCTATCACTGTGCCATGCATAATCTTTTGTATGGAAAATCTTTTGTATGGAAACAGTTGTGTATTTGTTATGCAGTTGTGCAATCTCTTTCTCTTGTAGAACGACACAGAATGCCACTCTATCTTTACAAATTAAAGAAAATTATAATATGTGACCACTTCCTCAGAATTTTAATTATGCCCCATGCATAGTCACATGTTGCTTACAGGGTCTCAAATATTGGGCACTTGCTTAAATTCTTGACACTTGTTCTTCAACAGACAGTTGTAACTGTTTCCAAAGTTTTCAATTTTAGTACCGTCATATTCTGTAAACTCTATTCTATGCATGGTATGTGTTTCTTAACATAAGAGCAATTTTATTGGGTTAGGCCAAAGGTCCACTCAGCTTGGTATACACTAGAACAGGCCTAGAGAAGAATATCTGAACAGGACAAGCCTTATTGTGATATTCCTGTGTGAAACAGTATGGATCTGACTTGGTGTTCACTTTTTGTGGAATAAGTGGTTCTTTATTTTAAGCCTGCTTTTTGCTAGTGCTGGATGGCACCAGGTGAAACTCGCAGTGAGAAACAGTGAATAGCAGATTCTCGTTCACTTTCTTCATGCCATGTGCAGTTTTAAAATCTTTGTATAATGACACTTAAGCTTTTGCAGGCTGAAGAGTGCTAGTCGGTTCACTTGTTCCTAGTACAGAAGCTGCTACGTACCTTCAGCCCCCCCCTTACTACCCTTTATTGTACTTTTTCCTGTTCCGCTATATCCCATGTAGAAGTTTCATAACAAAATAACACTGTTTTCTTTAGTCGTTCACCACAAATTTTAACACTGAGTTTGATTGCAACAAATTGCTGCTTTTTCTGAAGTAGGTGATTAGAACAGCTTCTGATAGAAGTTTAGCTTGGAATGACTTTTGATCTTCTTAAAGAAACCTTTCTATTACTACGCTAAGTCAGCATTCTTCATGAGAAAAAAACAACAAAACAGAAAAGAAAGAAAAAAAGGTATTGGAAAAAGACTTTGAACCATTCTGTTGGCTCTCCCAGTAGATTTGATTGGAGACTAGAAATAAAATCTTGATTTGGCTTTGGAAGGTTTGCAGTAAATAAAGGTATCTTTATAATTATAGCTTGTTTTAGTCAGCTCCTATTCGGGTCACTAACAAGGGGAGAAACTTAGCAGGGTGTTTTGATATTAAATACATTGTGTACAACTAATTTTTTAGCAGCTGATGGTCTGTTAGAATTTAGTTTCTCCCATGGTATCGGTTACTATTAAAAATCATTTCATTTCTATGCATACAGGTTTGTAGTAAATCCATTTTAAACTTTTTGTTTCATAGGTTTTCACTGACCTTGATTGATACCTTGGACACTCTTGTGGTAGGTGTAATCTATTGATAAACTTTGATAAAACCAAAACCTGCCTTCTGCTGTTCAGACTTATATTTGTATTTATATTTTGTTTAATTATATATAAAAATACTAATCTTTCTTCACCTTTGATCTCTAGCCACCTGTTCGAAGTGGCTATTGCTTGTAAGAACTTCCAGGTGCTGCGTTGGTGGTGTTTGGAGTTTGTTGCAAAAAGAAAACTAGAACAGTTCCTTTGCGTTTCACTGATGCTTTCTTATCTTGCATTTCTTGGGCTCTAACTTAACAAATATGTGAGTTTTCTTCCCATTATAATCTAAAGCTGCATGCTCACTTATAGGTGAACATCTCTTAATACCTACTGAATTATTTATGTTTTTAAATTGTATGTACGTGTTCCATGGATAAATTTGTGTGCACTTAAATATATATTAAACAAAATACAACCCTGGACATGTTTGCTAGGAAAAGTTGCTAAACTTCTGTTCCATATATTATTAAAAGACTCCAATCATTAATAAAATACTTTTTGTTAGATTTCAATTCCTTTGACATATTTTGTCATTATAAACTGAATTTGGAAATTAACAATTTTTGGCCTTCCATGTCTCCAGGATAAACAAATCCAACTGCACTGATCTGGTGTGTGCTTCATATAATGCTCTTTCTCTGACAGCTGTTCCCTTTCCATGATGTGCTGTGAGATGACCCTTGGCTCTTTTGAATCAGGACCACAAAGGCTGTTCCTGTGGGGTCTGGAACTCCCAGTCTCCACCAGACACAGATTGTTGTGGTTTATTTACTGTTTTCTTATCTTAGAGCAGGATTAACACTTGTAGAATTTAAAGGCAGTTACGCTAACAAATTGGATAAGTCACAAAGATTCTTAAAGACAGATTGAACTAAAAGTCAGTGTGAAAGAAGATATGTAGAAGATGCCCGAGCTGTTCTTCAGGTGCAAGGATAAAACTGTTGGGAGGAGGAAGACCGCTAGGACGATTCACTGAACTTGGGATGTGGCTCCCAAGTCGATGGGTGGGAGACTCCTGTGAAATCGGAAGCATTGGAGCAGGGCAGTCTTTGCCTGCTCTGCCAGCACAGCCTGCAGCCCACTGAGTCCTGTTGTCAAGGCATGGGAATAGGGGAAAGAGAAAACAAATCAATCCCTGGCTAATAGTTTAGGTACATTCTCAGTGACTTTACTCTTTGTGTATAGCTTTTATTCTCTTTCATGTATCTAATGAGAAAAACAGTAATATTGATGTCCATTTGCACTGTATCAGAGTATGCCCCAGCAGGACCAGAATATCAATCTAAGGCATGTTAAATGCTTTCTTTTTTTAATTCATTGCACTTGTTCTTCCACACCTGAGTGTGACTGTATTAGCTATGTTGGAACCTAAACACCTGGTTACATTTGTATTCCAGGTGTTAAATAAAACCAAAGAGTTTGAAGAGGCTGTAAAAAAAGTAATAAAGGATGTTAATTTAGATAACGACATAGTTGTATCTGTCTTTGAAACCAACATAAGAGTCCTTGGGTGAGTAACTTTTATGTTTTCAAAGCTCTTAAAAATGTGGGGTTTAGCTAAATGGCCTTAAAGCATACCTTTGTGTGCTATTTCACCTCATTGCAAACAGTTGTGCCTTTGTCAGTTAGCATAGCTCAACACCTGCCCAAAGAAGGGTTTTAAAATGCTAGGCAGGAATCGATGCAGTGGTGCTGAATCAAGCTGGCTCCCATCTAACTGCTGCAGGCATAGGCTTTTAGATTAAAAAAAAAAAATTGTGCATGCTAAGGGAGTAGTGTTTTTTCTTAATGGAAACAGTCTTATAGATTATGCTGTTCAGTACTTGATTTAACAGCTAGAATATTTCAATACTTAGGAATAATAGATTATTTCAGGTCAGAAGGGACCACTGGAGGTCTCCAGTCCAAATTGCTGCTGAAAGCAGGATCAGAGCAGGTTAGTTTTAAGCTATTATATGCAGTTTTCGATGTGTTGGTTGTTATTCTTGACTAACTATATGGATGAATCGGTGATTCAGCTATAGTTTAGGACTGAGCCCTGCACAATAAGAATTGTTTCCAAAATACTGACAGCTCACCTTGATTGTAATTGGAGTTGCATCTGCTCAGCATTTCTGAAAATTCGGGCCATGTGAACATAGCACACTTGCTTACATAGTCATCTAAATCATAGAAATTGCTGCATTGCTGTTGAGATGAATATACCTGTTGAAATGTGGATAACTTTTCTTGTGTTTAGAGGTCTCCTAGGTGGGCATTCAGTGGCGATTATGCTGAAAGAAAAAGGGGAATATATGCAGTGGTACAATGGTGAACTTCTGCACATGGCCAAGGAACTAGGCTACAAGCTTCTACCTGCTTTTAACACCACTAGTGGTCTCCCTTATCCAAGAGTAAGTTCTCTGGTTTCTGTAATTTAGAATTAATTCTGTAAGCAAAATTTTTGTTGTGTTGTTTTTATCTCTGTTTCTAAAATCACTTGTGTACTTATTAAGTGTACAAGAAAATCAAGAGCTGATAAATTGCTCATTTGTAGATTGCTCATGCTACCTAGTATTTTCAAATACAGTTTTAGGCTCTCTGAATCCCTGCATTTCCATCTCAGAAACTTCTAGTATACATTGTTGTGGGTAAAAAGTAACTGCAGAAATCTTGTCTAGTCACTCTCTACTGACTTCTTGCTTCCCGCTACTATAGGCACCACCAAGTAGCTGAGGAGAGTTTTTTGTTTAGATGCGTATCTCTCACTAAGATAGTGAAAGAGCAACTTGCAAGCACTTGCTTGTGAATTTAGCATAAAACTGATGAATCTTCATGGTCTACACCCACATGTTTAAGAGGTCAAAGGTATCTGTAATATAAAAATATTCACTTAATGCAAAAACTTCTATCAAATTCACACAAAGCATGATACATATTTTCTGAATAACAGAAAACTGTTTCCCATGCATATTATCCATTGAGTTTGAGATGTGTGGCTTTGGAAACTTTTCCGTAAGTTACAAATTTAGGCTCAGTGAATCGCAGTTTTCTAGTGAAAATGTCCAAGATGTTTGGAGTTTGACAATCTTCCGCTGAGAGGGCCCTCTCCAGAGTGCAGAAAGTTACGTTGTGCCTGGTACAAAAGCAGGTTCATCTAGCAGATATTCTCTGGAGCCAGGGGTAGTGAGAGCTTTACAAAGCTTAATTTCTATGAGCACTTGTGATGTTCCAAGTTTCTGGTTTTCTGGTAAATAAATTGCTAGAATTAGGTTTTTCAGGGTGGTATTCTTTTATTCAAATGTCCAGTGGACCAGGCAACAGGTAATTGGGCTAGTCCTTGTTTTGGAGGGTTGAGTGTTTTGGGTACTTCTGGGTAATTTTATGTGCATGTTTGAGTTGACAGTATGTGCCAAAACAGAGCAAAAACTGAAGGGGGGTGTGTGATGATTTTTTTTTCCTTGCCTTTCAAAAAAGCATAGGTTATATAGTTGCTTTACAGACCTATCACAGAAGTGTAAAGTCTTTCATCGAGTAAAAATAAAGATGATAATAATCTCTACTTTTCTCTAGGTTAACTTAAAATTTGGTGTAAGACATCCAGAAGCACGAACAGGAACAGAAACTGATACCTGTACAGCTTGTGCAGGTACCTTGATCCTCGAGTTTGCAGCTTTAAGCCGATTCACAGGAACATCTATATTTGAGGTTTGCTTTCCATGATATCTTATTCTTTGGGATTAGGTATTCATTAGTGTTCTGCTACATTTCTGTAATTTTGGAAAAGTAATTTTATTGAATGGGTACATATCTTAGGTGTTCTGCCCAGAAAGTTTGCATGTGTTCACATTTGTGGTGTCTGGGCTTTTTTTCTAAAAGTGTTAATTTGACTGTTTAAAAACCACAGGAGTTAATTTTGTTTGAAAGTAGGTATAGTAATACAGAAGTAAACAAGATAAATATACTGAAGACTAGCTAAAGGATAATACTTGCGTAGTTTTGGGGTAGAGGGGTCAGGACTAGAAAGAAGAAAAGATACTTGTTCCTTAAAATGCAGCTTAAAAAAAGGCAAAAGGAAAAAAAAGAAAATCATACTTATATGGTCCCACTAAAGCTGTGCAAGACCTATCTAAGGGTATATTGTCAGCAGGA